ATGACAATCATTATCATTATCATTCATCATCATTGTTATAATAATGGTTATCATCATTGTCTTATCATTATCATTATCATTATAGTTATTATCATCATCACCATTATTATTATTATCATCATTATTATTAGCAGCATTATCATTTATGTTATCAGTATCATTATCATTATTATTTGTTATCATTATCATCAGAGTCAGCAAGACGCGCCGAGAGTCAGCAAGACGCGCTGAGAGTCAGCAAGACACGGCGAGAGTCAGCAAGACACGGCGAGTCAGCAAGACGCGTCGAGAGTCAGCAAGACGCGTCGAGAGTCAGCAAGACGCATCGAGAGTCAGCAAGACGCGTCGAGAGTCAGCAAGACGCGTCGAGAGTCAGCAGTCCAGCAAGACGCGTCGAGAGTCAGCAAGACGCGCCGAGAGTCAGCAAGACGCGTCGAGAGTCAGCAAGCAAGACGCGCCGAGAGTCAGCAAGACGCGAGAGTCAGCAAGACGCGGAGTCAGCAAGACGCGTCAGCAAGACGCGTCGCAGAGAGTCAGCAAGACGCGTCGAGAGTCATCGAGAGAGAGTCAGCAAGACGCGTCGAGAGTCAGCAGCAAGACGCGAGAGTCAGCAGACGCGCCGAGAGTCAGCAGTCGAGAGTCAGCCGAGAGTCAGCAGACGCCGAGAGTCAGCAGACAGCGCGAGAGTCAGCAAGACGCGCGTCAGCACAGAGTCACATCATTAGGGTCTGCGGTTTCACTCGGACATCAGCGTGAAGTGTGGCCGTCAGTCGAGGAAGTCACACGACAAACTGAGGGGAATTTATGGGTAATCGGGGCACGAAATCCTTCCCCCTTTATCGCAGGCTTTCTTGGCGTGTCCTCACTTCCTCTGTTGTATTATGTTTATCTATATTCTTTCTTCTTTATCTACCTCTTTTTTTCTTCTACTTCTCTCTCTTTGTCTCTCTCATGTTTTCTCTTTTCGAACACTTTTAATGTGAAACACGCACGCACTCACACACACGACTTGTTTAAAATAATCGTTTGTAAAACAAAAGTTACATGAAACATGATTTTTAACTTCCTGATATGATTGTCTGTGGCGTAAGAATAGGGTCGGCTATATCATGGAGTCTGCATGGGGAGGGAGGGGGCGGAGAAGAGGCAGAAAGGGAGGAGGAGGGGGGGAGAAGGAGGGGGAGGAAGAGGGAGGGAAGGGGAGGGGCGGAGGGGGAGAGGGAGGAGGAGGAAGAGGAGGAGGGGGAGGACGAGGGAGGACGAGGGAGGAGAGGAGGAGGAAGAGGAGGAGGGGGAGGACGAGGGAGGGAGGGAGGGAGGGGAGAGAGAGAGGAGGGGGAGAGGGAGGGAGAGAAAGGGAGGAGGAAGATGGAGGAGGAGGGGAAAGGGGAGAAGGAGGGGGAGGAAGAGGGAGGGAAGGAGGCAGAGGGAGGAGCGGAGGAGGAGGGAGAGAGGGAGGGAGAGAGGGGAGGGGGAGAGGAGGGGAAGGGAGGGGAAGGGGAAGGGGGGTGGTGGGCGAAGAAGAGGAGGATAGGGGAGAATGGGACGAGGCACGATGGGAGATGGGGAAGGAATTGCGGAAAGGGACGAAGCACGAGTCATGGAGAGAGTCGAGAGGGGACACGGGGAGGGAGTTGGGGGACGAGGTAAGGGAAGGGATGGGGGTAAGGGGACGAAGCACGGGCCATGGGGAAGGAGGAGACAGGAGACGGAACTGGGAGAAGGGGACGAGATAAAAGAAGGTGCGGGGGAAAGAAGGGGAAGGGGAAGTGAAAGAGGGCAAGGTCGAGCGAAAGAGAGGGGTGGGTGAGGGGGAAAAAAAATGAGGAGGACGAGGAAAGTGGCGAGAGGTGGGGAAAGGGGGATGGAGGGAGGCGAAGAGGAGGAGGAGGAGGAAACGAGGAAGGAAGCGGAAGGAGGAGGGGGAGGAACGAACAGGAGGAGAAGGCGAGGGGAGGAGGAGGAGGAGGAGGAGGAGGAGGAGGAGAAGGAGAGAGGAGAGGAGAGGAGAAGGAGAAGGAGAAGGAGAAGGAGAAGGGAAGGAGAAGGAGAAGGAGAGGGAGAAGGAGAAGAGAGGAGAAGGAGAAGGAGAAGGAGAAGAAGAAGAAGAAGAAGAAGAAGAAGAAGAAGAAGAAGAAGAAGAAAGGAAGGAGGAGGAGGGACGGTTGGAGGGGGAAGCAGGAGGGTCCATAAGGCACGGGCCGCCCTAGAAGCCTCCGTGATGAGGCCGAGGGAGGCCAAGGGCTCAAGGTCC